CCATATCTCTGAGTTTTGAGTGGGCGCATGTCGCCAGTATGCTGCGTTGCCGTTTACATGCATGAAAAGTGTGTTTGAGAACGAGTCTGATTGCACTGGGACCTGCGCTGTGCTCTGACAGCACGTGGGGCTGTTCAGAGGTCCGGGCTATCTGAAGTCTGCTGGAGGCAAGTGAAGTTGGTGCCCTGCTGAACCCTCCTCAGGAGTAGGGTTTCAGGGTGTTTGGCGCTGCAGCCATAGCTGCATCTTCCTTCCTCAGAGAGCATCTTCGTCAGGAGAGGTGGCGCTGCTACAGACTTCCACCCGGGAAGTCCTCTAGCACTTCATCATCATCAGACACTGTGGCGCTGGTCTTCTTTTCATCCTCTGAGTGGCGCTTGGCCTCAGAGGCCTGTTTCAGGGTGGCGCTTCCCTCTGGAGGCAGTATCTGGGTGGCGCTTGATGTTTCAGGGACTCAGGGGTAGTTCTAGCGGTTATGCAGGGTTGGGGAGTGAAGCACTGCTCAATGTTGAGCAGCACACCATGGTTCTGGGTTATCCTGAGATTTTGAGACTCTGAGTTTAATAAACGGTGTTTATACTGTGTGTGGACTATCATTGCTTCATTGTTTCCTGGATGTGATCTACTCGGCTTTCCTTTGTGACTGGTTGTGAGGATTCTGTGGAGCGAATTGCACTTTCAGTGTTTTCTGTCGTATCGCATGGACAAGTCTTCCGCTGTTTTTCTCTCTCCCTGTGCGGTGTGATACTCCCATCCTCTCCCCTTCCTTCTGTGTATGTATGGGCATACCTGGAAGTCTATGTGAGCGAGTGTTGGTCTTCTGACAACAAACAACCAGGTTCATAACATCACGATGGGTGTGAATCTCAGAATCATTGCAGACGATGCCGGCAGCACCGGAGGATGATATCGAGGAGCTGGAATGGCCTGCTATGGCCACAAGCTCTTGAAGCTCTCTTTTATTGCATATAATAGGCTCTGCAATGATAATGAGGAGTAATTTTCAACGAAACCAAATTGTAATGAGCCCAATCTCGTGAGAAGCCAACCAGTGTCGTGATACAATCTGCACCCAGGAAATAGAATAATGTCTCCAAAATCGTTTATATGTCCATGTCCAGCACTCGTGCACTCTCCAGAAGCATCATAACTTCAGAGAAGAGAATGAGGTGTAGGGGAGAAAAGACAGAGAGGAGGAGAGAGAGAGTTCCCAATAAGCACTGTAAGCAACCTCTTCTTGCGCACTTCCTCCGCGGGTGTTCTCCCCTCGTACCGCTGCACCAGCAATGCAGTCTTCCACTGACGTTCTCTGACAAGTACAATGTGCAGGTTACAGCAGGGCGCCCATCTTCCATCCGCGTGAGCAGCCCATCAAGGAGGACGGCGCAGATCTTCCTCACACGGCTTCGCCAGGTAAGTCCAGGTAAGCTTCCCCTCAGCCTTCCACAAATCTCACAGCCTTAATCCTCCCCCCTCCTTGCCAAAAGTCAACTCCTATATGTCTATAGCTATGGCGGCAATGGCCGGTCAAGCAGAATCTCCCCTAATGCTGGCGCCCCACCAGCAGCCCTGGCGCCAGCATAATCTCCAGCAGCCTCACGGTGTAGCACTTGGCCATGAGCAAGCGCAAGGCGGAATATCCTCCACAGTCGCTGGGTCAACTCTATATAGCATTGACTCGCGTTGACCAGCCTCCAGTCTCCTTCGGTCGACCGCCCGATGAATCAAGAACCAATCGCCTGGATGCAGCGCTGTTCCCAATTCCCATGTGTCCCCCACATGGGCTGGACTCTTCTGGATACCTGCAGACACCCATTGATGTGCATTTGATCCACGGCTGTGGCTGACCAGCGGGTTGCATTTGACTTTGGGATTGGAGTCCCGTGCTGGGGTTGACTCTTGATTTTCCAAGAGTCAAAACTGCCTGGCGTTGGGGTACTACTGAACACAGCTTTTGACTCAGACTTTGGTACCCCATGACCCTAGGCACAGTCTGAGATATTTCTGAGAGTCGGGACGTGACTTTTGACCCCCCTATTTCTGGCCTTTGACCAAAAGTGACGACCCTTAGCTCGCGGCAATGCAGATTTTGGGCTGGGTTATTACAACTGTATGTTCAGATAAGACAAATTACTTCTAGCGATTCATCGCGGACTTTTGCTTTGCTAGTCTGTGCTCAAATGAATAGTGAAATAACCAAAATGATAATACCAAACAGCACCTCCACCACAATTCTTTAACAGAAAGGCCACGCAGCGACTTTGAATCACGAATAACAATCATGCCTACTCATCAACCCAGCAGCTGCTACGTCACAACCAACTTCTATTTTTATTTTTATTTTTTTGAACTCACATCATTCCATGTAGATTATAGCCATATCAGCTGCACCTAATTCTCCTTAGGACCCTAGGCATACATTTCACCAAGCCAGCAACATGGACAATCCATTATCTCACATCAAGGACGCCCGTTTTTTCTTGCTTTTACTTGCACTGTTTGTCCATTTATGTGTGTCATCCTTCTGCAGGGCCCATGCTATATATTTGGTTATATAAAAGCTTTTATAAACACCAAGAACTCAGTACTGCAGAGCTCATTGGTTGGGGACATGGGCGAATTAGAGTGGCTACCTCCATTGCACAGTGCCCGACTCATTCAAAGGAATCACTCAGGATTGTGCACAGAATTTTTGTAGTGTCAGGTAAAGACCAACTTGAAGGGTGATCTAACTGCAAAGCAGGATGCAATCTAGCAGTAAGTGTTCACTTTTGTAAAAGCTTTTGTAAGAGATATCACTGATCGGAGAACACGTGAATTGCTGTGGGTACCTCTCATGCGCAGCAGCCGACTGACTCATTGAGGGGAAATCACTCACAGGGTGATCGGTGCCTGCCAGTTTGGCAGTGTCAAGTGAAGAGTGTGAAGACCAACTTGAAGGAAGGGCGATCCACCGCCAAGGAGAGGAAAGATTAGCACAAGTCTGACATCAGCTTGGGGTCAGAATGCTGCAACATTTGGGGAACCATGGCAAATGTCGGGGGGCATGGGCAACTCCCGGTGGCTTTGTCAGAAAAGTTAATGATTACAAATCTAGGGCATCGTTCCTTGGAGATTGACGCACATCCTAGAAAGCCGTGGCTTCTTTTCATATGTGATGAAAACACTCTTCAGGTATGGGACTTTGTAAGTGGCAAACAGATTGCCGCTGAAGAGTGCAAAAGCGAAATGCGTTGGGAGAAGGCAAAATTCTTAGCCCACAGAGATTGGATTGTGGCTTTGAGGGCATCGTCGCGAACAGTCCATATTCATCATGATGATATTGTTCTGTATGAAATGAATGACGTGCAAATTTCACCTCTCGGGATTCTTACGATACCACGTTCGAACAATGGAATTGGTCGAATTGAAGACGTGGCTGTACATCCCTGCTGCTCAAGGTATGTAGTGGCTTCCATGCACAAATGCTTGCACTTGTGGGACTTGGACCAAGAGTGGAACACGCCACAGTCTCAGGCTACTATTCAAGGCCCTGACATTACACACAAGATATCATTTCATCCCCTGAAATCACATATCTTCGCACAAGCAACCATCAACGGCAAAATCCATGTGTGGTATTTTGGGAACATGTCCATCTACCGAACAGTTTTGTGTCAATCCATCGACAACATTACTTCATTGCAATTTGGTGGCCATAACCAGGCTTCGCTTTTGGTCATCGGCAGTGAATGTGGCAAAGTACATCTGTTGGACTACGAGAGCAAGGGGTGTGCAGTCACTACTCTTGAAGGACATAAAGCAGCTGTTATTGGGGCACTTTTTCATCCAAACTTGCCATACCTATTCACTGCATCAGCAGATGGGGCCATCAATATTTGGGATGCTTCAAAGTACCACCTATAGCACCTTGTAGGTGCACAACCCTGAAAGGTCTCACAAGCCTGGCTGTCTGTATGAATTACAATCAGCTTTTCATCGGAGGTGAAGGGAAGTTGCTCGTTGTAGAGGTGATTCCTTTTGTCCAAGGTTTTGAGGAAGCAGTGAATATGGAGTTGGAGAAGGCTAAACAAGAATCAGAGAGAAACCTTGCAAAAAACAGGATAGAACACAATGAAAAAGTTCAAGAAGAGAAAATGCATGCAATGAGAGTCCAAGCGAAGAGGATGAAGAAACTCAAACGAAAAGTAGGTATGCAAGTGCTAAAGATCAGGGAACAGCAAGCTGAGATAAAACATCTGACCGCCGAGAAGTTAGCAGTAGAAAAGGAATCGGAAGCGCATGCGACAACAGTCAAGAACTTAGAAACTGAGATGATCATCTGGGACATGAGACAGTATGCATTTAGAAAGAAACACGAGCAACAAGAACGAATGCAAGCGGAAAAGATAAAACAACGAGAAATTGAAATAAGTGGTCTGGCTGTTGATTTGTTTGCATTGGAGGAAAGGCTTCAGGAAGCAAATGAGAGGGTTAGGGAACTGGAATCGCACTTAGAAACTGAGCTAAGCAATCGGGATAAGATACTGCATGAGTTCAGATCGAAACATGAAAAACAAGAACGAATACAAGCGGAAAAGATAAAAGAACGAGAGATTGAGATAAGTGAACTAGCTGTTGATTTGTTTGCATCCGACGAAAGGCTTCAAGAAGCAAACGAGAGGGTTAGGGAACTGGAATCTCATGTAGAAACTGAGCTAAGCAATTGGAATAAGATACTGGATGAGTTCAGATCGAAACATGAAGAACAAGAACGAATACAAGCAGAGAAGATAAAGAAACAAGAAATTGAGATAAGTGGTCTAGCTGCTGATTTGTTTGCATCGGACGAAAGGCTTCAAGAAGCAAATGAGAGGGTTAAGGAACTGGAATCTCATGTTGAAACTGAGCTAAGCAGTCGGGATAAGATACTGTATGAGTTCAGATCGAAACACGAAGAACAAGAACGAATACAAGCGAAGAAGATAAACGAACGAGACATTATGATAAGTGATCTGTCCCTCGATCTGTTAGCCTATGAAGACAGGCTTCATAAAGCGAATGAGATGGTTAGGGAATTGGAATCTATCTTGGAGAATAAGGTCAACGAGCAGGAAGCATCAAGGAGATCTGGTGGGGCATCGACAGGCACTTGGAGAGCGGACATTCATCGCCGATTCCATTAATATTCATTCAGAAAACTCAGTCTGCAACAAAGAACTTTGATGACAAATCGTCTCTCAAGGAACGACAGAACAAAGATGTTTACGCCGACAAAAGGACGCCTGTTATGGTAAAGAAGCGAAGGTGCAGTCTGAGGTGATGAAAGAACATGCAGTCAGCAGGCCAAGTGAGTAAAGGAGATGGTGGACGGGTTGAGACCCCTTCGCACTTCTCAGGCTGTGCTTGGAAGCAAGTGCTTGGTGGCGAATGAACACATGGCCAAGGGAAATGTCAAAGACAGGATCTACTGTGCAACAGGTCAGCCAAGGAAGTTCCTGCTGTTGTGTACATGCGCTTGCAGATCATGGGTGAAGTTGCTCAGGCTGTGTGTTTTCTTCGCTCCCATCAGCCTTAGACTATGGGAGGTGGTCCCATCATCCACCGTGCCATCAAGCCAGAAAATATTTCTTTTGGATGACAACTTTGTGACTAATCTCAAAAAAATTGTGGTGTTGACGAGGCCTTGCTTACCCCAGACCTCCCCGAAGGAAAGCAAGTGCAGGCCAAAGAAATAATGCCTCATGTTGGACTGCTTTTGTGCGCAGTGCACATAACCCATAATACCACGGCACTGGCGTCTTCAACGTAAAGACTAAGCAAGTGCAGGTCAAGGAGCCGGTGCCTCATGTTGGATTGTTGTTCTGTACATAGCCCAGAATTGAACTGCGCGCCAAATACGCCAAAGTGAAAACTGACATCTACTCATTTGGCATCACCATCGTGGAGATACTCTGCTGTAACTTTGAACCACTGGTACATCCGAGCCTCTTTTTCCCTACCGTTGTCACCCGAATAGAACGCCCGCCCATTATCGCTGCATCTGGACTGAAAGTTGGGTTCTATTCGGGTGAAGATGGTAGGCAGAATTGAACTGCGTGGCAAATATGAGACGAGCTGGCATGGCACAATTTTTTTTTCATTCGGGCTGCCGTCGCCAGCCAAACAGATTGGGTAGGTCAAGCCCCAGAAGACGCAAAGCACATATGGCGACGCCAGGACATAATAGTTGGGCTGTGCACTGGCAGTTTAAGAATACCATCAAATTGGGAATCATGGAAGAGGCAGTGGAAAATACTTCAGAGTTCAGAAATGTTCCTGACCCAAATGCAGGAAGTTGGCACATTCAGCTGGCATTTGACGCCGCACATATGGGGCTGCGCTGCACAGCCGCAGCATGATGATGGGTGAACGTGCCACCCTACCAGTACGGGAAGCAATTGCTTGCAACATGGAACTCACCTACTCGATTACACAGGAGTTATGGAAAATGCTTAGTGAGTCTCATGCCATGCACTCAAGGGCAGGAGCACAATCAGCAGCAGCATCAATGTGCTGTCTCTGTCTCTCTCTGTCTGCAGCATCAATGTGCTGTCTCTGTCTCTCTCTGTCTCTCTTTGTCCCTCTCTGTCTGCCTGCCTGCCTGCCTGCCTGTCTGTCTGCCTCTCTGTCTGCCTGCCTGCCTGCCTGCCT